AGCTTTACTTTGTTTTAATAAATGATAGTATACGGCATGTAAATATAAAAAGTTATGACGTCTGGCTTACACTTAATAAATCTTTACATCCGTATTGGCATATTCTGTTTGCTTCAGTATACATGTATACATTCAATAATTCTACAAATTCAGTCAGGGGGATCCGACCCCCCCCCCCCGAACTGCGCATGGTTTACTTTTTTCCTTAAGCTCTAAATTAGCTTGTTTACAGATTTACTTTTAAATGGATGGATAAAGTTCAAACCGGTCATACTCTATCATGCTTTAATTTTACAAGTAAGTCTACATAAATGTATCGAAAATTCGTTGGTAGCAGTTGTAAATACTTTAATTACATAACGATGTGCTACAAGATTCAAGTTAAAGCAATTAAATCTAAACAAAATTAATTTTTTATCCGTAGCATGTTACATATTGAAATTAAATTTTAACCTACCTATTGCAACGAGAGCAAGCGAAAGAGCCAGGTAAAATTTCATCTGTCAAAAAAACCCCAATAAATACATTAAAAATAAGAAATAGAAACAAAATTTGTTTTGTAATAATAAATAAATATTAACAATTTTAATCCCTTAAAAAGAATACTGAAAACAAAACATGCAACAATTCAATTTTTTACCAACAATTTTAATTGTTACTAGAGCTGTGAGAATGAGCTCACCAAATGATACCCCCCACCTCCCATATGATTATAAAGACAAAGTCCCTGTTTTGCTCTTGGAGACCCAAAATAAGTGTCATACCGAAATTTAAAAAAAGAGATCACAATGGCATCATGTAAATACAGAATATCACACTGCTGTTTTGATCTCGGCCCTGGTATCAGCCCGAGCGGTTGATACCATCCGAGGGCTGATACCAGGGACGAGATCAAAACAGTGGTGTGATGTTGTTTATATCATATATCTAAAACCAAAGAAAAGAACAAATATTTTGATATTTTTTTATCATCACGTTTATCATAACAATATATTAGAGTTATCTTTCTTTATTTCGACGTTCTTGGAGATGTTGCTTGATGGTGAATAATCAAATAGAGATAGATTTGCCTGGTCTGGTCATTAAAAAGAATAGTCCTGGTGTTTTGAAACATTTCATTTCGAAGCACATTAGATAACAATGATTTAAAAGGTATTAAACCACAGGGGCTTGTCACGAAATATTTATTTTCTTTTAATAAAGTTACCCCTACTATAAAAATACACAAGGGAGGAATCTAAAAATAGGAAATTCGCTACCACAAATTTTGACAGGACTTTCTATCTTGTTTCTGGGCGACTTTTGTTGCGAACCAAGTAGGAGTGAGTGGAGTATAGATTCAATTTTAATATTCTTCAGTCAAATTCTAATCAACGCGTACCGTTAGTCATATAACTAACCTCTTTTCTCGATATTTGGATCTGGCGACAATTCTTTCCATACGAATTTCCGGCGTAAATTGAATGCAGGGCTCTGATTGGTTGCTTTCTGTAAATAACTCGTACACAAAGTAGCTCTTTAATTTAGTGCACCAAAACGGAGGGAAAATCAAACTGTCTTGATGGCATTGAACAATACAGGTGTGGTTTCATTGTACGTATTTTACTATATTTGGTTATGTTTATCTATATAAACTTGTTAAATATCCTTCACTAAGCATGTCAATCCTTGCAGTTTATATTTTGTGTACGAGTTATCTACAGAAAGCAACCAATCAGAGCGCTGCTTTCAATAGACGCATATGGAAAGAACTGTCGCCAGATCCAAATATCGAGAAAAGAGGTTAGTTATATGACTAACGGTACGCGTTGATTAGAATTTGACTGAAGAATATTAAAATTGAATCTATACTCCACTCACTCCTACTTGGTCCGCAACGAAAGTCGCCCAGAAACAAGATAGAAAGTCCTGTCAAAATTTGTGGTAGCGAATTTCCTATTTTTAGATTCCTCCCTTGTGTATTTTTTATAGTAGGGGTAACTTTATTAAAAGAAGATAAATATTTCGTAACAAGCCCCTGTGGTTACAACTTCGTCAACGAATCGTTAAAATTTGTTAACCTGAGATTTACAGTAAATATTTGTTTTGTTTACAATATATATCTAATTAAAAATGGCACATTAAATGAAAACTTGGTATTGTCTTACTGTCAAAGCAAATAACCGTCCATTGTTTCAAAACATGACTTGTTGCTGTCCTAGAAGTAAACAAGAGTTACCTCTCTTACGTCACAAATGCTATCATTTGGCGCACTTTTTAAAAACAATTTTCTCAAAATTCTATTATAAATAAATAACTTTTAAAAACTCTGGTTAAATTTTTGAATATATAATGTTTCTCTTTAATACTTAAATATGAATTTTACTCTTAATTCACACAAATTAAACAGAAATAATAATTTGAAATTTGAGGGCGAGACAGCCCATTGACGACGGGCCGAGACAGAGATATCTCAGCCCTGAGGGCGAGACAGCCCTACCTCCGAGGCGCTGTCTCGCCAAGTCCAAAACGCCTGTATCAGGGCTGATACACTACTAGGTATATGATATATGGGTATTCCAAATCGTAACGGACAGAAGGACGTACAGACAGACGGATGTACTGACGGAGGGACGGACATACCGATTACTATATACCTTCCCGCTTTTCAAGCGGGTGGTATAAAAATGAAATGCATCAGTATAATATCCAGGAACAGTAATTTTCAGAATAAACGATCAAAAAACCTTGATCTTACCCTTTCTACCACAATTCTTGTATCGTATTATGATGTCTTATTCAAAGGTGCTGTGGACAGGACCCCCCCCCCCCCCGAATACTAGTATACACCCCTGGGTCCTAAGATTTATTATTCAACTTCTTTCATAGATTTATCTTCTAGTACATTGTACACATTTACATTATGAAAAATCCTAAAAATAACGTAGAATTAAAGTTTTGTTACGGTTCTTTTATCAAAAATCAAACCCACGGTTTTTATAATTCAATGGGTATGATTTTTTTTATAAAATCTGAATTTTACGTTTTCTTTCATTTCAATTTTTGATATTGATACAATCACAGGAGTTCGCGTACCTAGCAATTATACCGAAATTTTCATTAAATAAAAAAATACGTAATACGTAAAATAATAGGTATTACGTATCTTTTTTATTTACCGAAAATTTCGGCAAAATTGATTGGTACGCGAACTCCTGTGATACAATGTAAATGTGTACTAGAAGATAAAGAGCTCGGTTCACTTTATGCATAAAACGGCTCTGTCGTCATACCTATTTATTGACGAACACTTTATGTTCCATTTTAAACATCAAATTAAGTAAAGTAGAGACTTAAGTTGGTACTTTCATTTCCTATTAAAACTTTTTTTTTCTTAAACTCCACGCCTCTGAATATCCGAACTCAGGCTTTATGGAACTGCAAAGTTCTTGAATTTTAATGTATACAGTCAGGTATATTTGAGTACTTTCAGAGAAGAAAAATGATTTGAGCGCACCCTTTGATAAAAAAAAAAATAATAACATGTTTTGTTATCCTCCGGAACAATTCTATCAATTACTAGTTGCTTATTCTAGATCAGAGGTTGCGCGCTATATTAAAAAATTGAAGAAAAGAAGCTTTGAAAATTGGCTGATTTTGCGGAGTGAGACTTTTTTTAAGAATATGAGGAAATTGACGCATTTTGTGACGCCATCATGCATTGACTAGCAAAGAAAATTACAATCACCAAATGTTTAAATGATATTTAATGCATTGTTTACTAAAATCAAGCAGTTTCTAGTGTTTTTTTTTTAAATTCACAGGACCAAAAAAAGGTAATAATTTAAGTGAACCTCTTTCCTTATGAAAAAAAGATGAATAAAAGTATCTTGGGATCCAGCGTGTGTATTCGGGTGGTGGGAAGGGGGTATTCCTGTCCACAAGCACATGTGGTCTTAAGGACACTGGCAACGTTTCTGGCTTTCCTATAGAATTTTTCAAGCCAGCCTTCCTTTATAGATTTTCTCAAATCAATGTTTTTACAATTTTCAATGCATTTCCTATGTAAAATGTTGATAAAATGGGTCTGTATTATTTTTAACCATACTTTTTCTTCAAATCCCATTTATTTCATAAGGTTTATACATAAAATACATGAAACCTTATTTCCGATGACATGCATATACTTTGGCTTAAAATGCAAATATTGAATCTAAACACAGAATTCCAGCACTGTTCTTTAATTTTGAGTTACTTCCCTTAACATAAGAGTAATGGCACAAAAATGTAATTAATTTGCCAAATTTTTAATTGTTAACTAAAAGTGAAGATGGGTGAAGATGGGTTGGACCGGTCATTTATGAAAATTGCTATCATACATGCATATTAATAGCAATAAACTTACCATTGGAAAATAACGAGGGGTCAACCATCACCCCCTCCCGCGACCTGCTAGCATACTACGCGCTATTACGAGACAATGAAACTACTGACTTGTACTAATTTTTGAATTAACCAGTTGGGATTAAATACAATATTGAGAACAGTTGTCATTCAAATATTTAAACTTTTAAGAGTTCCAATAATCAGTAATAAAATATTGGTTTTAAACTAGTGATTTCTCTGTGTGAATACATTTGTTTCGTGTCCTATGAAATTCATTTTATTTTCAATCAGCTTTTTATAAAAAAAAAATGACACATAATTTTTTTTTTTTATTTTTTCTCAAAAAATATATTATCTTTTAAAATATTTATTTTCAAGTGATACTCTCTATCTGTTAATGAACGATTTATTTGAAAAATGTAAACGTTTTATTTTTATACCTCACATAGTTTTGGAGCTATTGTAGAAATAAAATTTTGGACATGTTGACCTTTGGTCTTTAGTAAAACCTTAAATGGAATGGAGAAAGGGATTCTTGCCTGTTCACCGCTATTTCTCATTACAGAACACCAGAGGCTATTCAGTAACTGTACTAAAAAATTGTACAGCTGATATTTAATTAAAAAAGACACAACTTTAAGAAAACATATCGCCATTTTATTATTAATCGTCACAAATGGTCAAAATTTTTCTTCCAATGAAGGTTAAAAAATGCAAATATTTAAAAAAAAACGATAATCTCTTTATATAAGAAAAAAATCTCCCGTTATAAACCGGAAGTCAATAAAATATTCTAAATTTTGAAATAATCAGCGTAAATGATTCCGGCCACGACATCAGCAATGTCGTCGGTGCTCCCCAGGTTTATTTCTTTACCGCCTCCACTGACGACACTGGCTGTGTTATTCACTGTATACTTGACACTGGTCAATGGAGCAGTCAACACAAGAGGAACGTAAGACTTGACAGTGGTTTTGGCGGTATCGGCATCGATCTACAAATACAAGCAATAAAGCATCATTATTAAACATTGTCAGTTTGGTTAAACTTTTAATATCTTTATAATTTAATGGTTTTGACGTCCAAACAGGAAATTTAAAAAAATTAACTTTTAAAATTACAAAAGATTTGCATGCGTACATGTATTTTTTTTTCTTGGGGGGTTGGGGGGTTGGGTGTGGCCGAGTAAGTTGGTGGGGTAATGGGCTGGGTTGTTGTACAAAATGTATCTTCTGTTTGAAAATACAAATCTTAACGTAAGTATTTAACATTGTTTTGTTTTTTCCTGGTATCAAAAAGACCCATGCATTCAAGTCTTCCGTGAAAAGTTAAATTTTAACACAGCACTTCTGAACGATAGAAAATCATGTTCCCCTAAAGGAATATTTCTTTTTCAAACCAGAAAAAAATTGACGCCTTGAGTATACGTGATTTTACAGTTTATTCTCTCAAATAATATATTTTGAATTTTGTTACATTTAACATATTTTTAAGCCTTAAAGAGGCTTACCAGCCATGTCTATTGTTTCAAAAATACGATCCCGGTCTCACGGTTGAGACTGTATAAACCGAAGTCCCTTTTTGCAGTCAGTGCTGGCACGAAAAAGATCCCTCCCTGCTCAATGGCGCTGAGTGCCGAGTATAGGTCAAAATTTGTAGTGGCGTCTCCATATGAGTGAAAATTCTCTCGAGAGGGACGTTAAATCAATCAATCAATCAATCAAACCTATGATCAAACCATACCTCATTAACAAGCGTCGATTCTATAGATTTCATCATAGTGGACATTCTATCCAACAGCGTCGTCAGGACAAATATCTCTCCCATAGTCTCCGCTCCACAAACTATAACAATGAATTTTTTAAATGTTCATTTGAAAATTTCTGTTCAAAAACAGAGAAAAGGTTGTGATATTATTCGACTATAAGAATCGGACTTTATAAACTTAATTTAAAGAATACAATTTGCAAGATTATTTTCGATCTTATGTACTAGCAGGTGAATTAGCTCCATTCGTAAGCTCGACCAGTCAAAGAACTCTGCTTAGGAATGTATTCTTAAAGGGACATGATCACAATTTCAGCTAAAATTTTTCAAATTTATTTTTCCATTTTTACAATTATTTAACTAAGGTCTTTCTAATGATCATCAAAAATTTTAATTCCAGTTGTCGAGATACAAGGCAGATTTAAAGTTCCCAAACTTTGTTATGTAAACAGGATTCGTGCCATGTTTTTGTTTACATAGGTTAATATACTAATAAATGTTCGTTCAAAGCAGATTATTTCAAAATCGTAGTTAATTCTAAATACGAAAAATGTAAACATTTGTGTATTTTTCGTGTATTTACCAGTTTCCAACATTTTGCCTTCGGCTGTGTTGGCAATTTGAGTACAGGTATCGCAGGTTACCGCCCTCTTTCTTCTCAGGTTCACTCCGGGTATTTTGTTGAGTGTATCCTTTCCCCAATCTGTTCACATGCAAAATATAACACATCTGTAATTCATTGTCAAGAGATAAGCATTGAAAAATAAAGAAAAACAACATATTATTACTTTTAGTTGATAAATTACATGAATGCTGAAATGTTTCATTAAACAAGTTCCTGAATCTTTGTTATGAAAAATACGAGTATGTTGTAACTGTCATGTTGTAAATTTTGAATTTACTGAGTAGCAGTAAATACAAAAAATTACAGTCATGTTGTAAATTTTGTATTTACTGTAACCTGGTATATTCAAAATTGACAACATGACACAACCATGTATTTAAGAGAAAGAGATAGAACTTACTTTTAGCGGCATTGAACCACTCTTTTGCTTTTGAGGCAATTGTAGCTGAAACATAAATTAATCATCACATTACTAACTTATACTAAAATTTAGTAAATGCATTGCACTTGTAAGATCTGAATGTGCAAAAGATATTGATCAATCTAAAGGTTTAAAATTTTGAACCAGATTGAAGATAGTGTAGCTACAAAATATATAACAAATTTATTCAAAATTGAAAAAAAAAATTATCAACTCAAGATCAATCAAGAAGAAAGCTAATTTATTCTGATAAGATTAAATAGAATTCCAGGGTATTTTTTAGATATAATATAGAGGGACCAATTAAAAAATTAAAATTTGCAATTCTTTCTGTGTTTCAAGGCTGTTTTTTTATTTTAAGTAATATTTTTGCATACTTTAAGATAATTCTGTAGAATTTGTTACTATAAAGTGAGTGTAAAAAAAACAGCAAAATTCAATACTATGCGAAATTTGCATGCTTCTAGTTGATATTTAATATAAAGAATGAACTCTTCTAAACAAATTTTAAGAAGTTTCTTTTGAAAACAAAACAAAACAAAAAATATACGTTTTCTAATTATTCATATCATATTGCATTATAAAACTAACTGAATAAAGTTAAAATTTGATACAGGATTGTAAACATGTGTCAATTAAAAAAGAGATTAATCAAAGAATATTAATGTATTCAAAATAATTTACAGCGATAAGTTTTATAACATTTAGTTAGTATTATTTACTTACATCCAATATTTTTGGCAAGATTTTCTGTGAATTCTGTGGGAAAAAAATTCCATACTTTAATAATGCAGAATTAAATATCTTTCCATTCAAAATAAACAAATATTGCGACACTTTTTTAATTAACTAATTTTTGTTCTATGAAAAAAAAACAACTCTTTAAAATGGAAAATTTTAAAATAAAATAGAAAACATCTTCGATTTTAGTAATAAATATCTCGTTAGACATGTATTTTTTAGATAAATAAACTTATTTCTCGCTAATGACAAAATAAAAAACAAATATCAAGTGAATGGTGGAAAAAAAGTATCCAGGCCCCAACACCATAAACTGAGAACAGACTTAATTAAGTCAAAATTTAAAATTTTAATATCCTGGGTATCACTAAACATACTTGCTTTAAAAATGCAATTTTGTTTATCATTTTTATTCAAAATTACATGTAGGGTGAAAATTCCATTTCATTATCGAAATTATTGCAAAAGTTATAATTTATTGTTTTAAAATTTTGGCACAAGTCTGTTCTCAGTTTCTGGTCTTGAGGCCTTATTACATTACGTCATACGTACTTGCAGCGTCTATTGCCCATTGCTGTTTATTTGCCCAGTTTTTAATTGCTGGAACATAGAAATTCAAACTTGATATTTTTAATGGTCACAAGAAAGAGAATCTTATTAATCTCATAACAAATAAAAGGGATGGAAATACACTTTTAAGAGGGCTTGGGGATTGTGGCCATTTTCAGACCATTTTGATCTCCTTTAGAAATAGAGATTCATAGAAAGATATACAAAAGTAAATTTTAAAACTACAATGTATGAAATTTTTATTTCCCAAATGATAGTTGCCAGCTTTCAAATATATCTAAAATTTTAAGTGATATCTGATGGTTAACCCCCAACCTCCTTAACTTAAAGATATCCTTTCTTAATCTTAGTTTTATATTAATAATGTATATGCCTTGAATACAATATAATAATGATTTTTTTAAACTTACAAGTGCCGAGCTTCTTTGCCTCTGCATCAACGGTTGCTAAAACATTCAAGGTAGCATATTGTTACATCTACTTTTTCATCAGAGAGAAAGAGAGAGAGAGAGATGCATTATGTACAAAGTTTTGTTTTGTTTTTATATCAGAGAGAGAGAGCATTATAAACCTCTTTTCAGATTATACATATCAAGGTTTAAACTTTACAGAAATTAAATAAATTCAACATACCTTTGAATTTATTAAACTCAGTTTCGATTGCTGGACCTGCTTTTTTGATGTCAGCTTAAAAAACAAAAATCATATTTATGTTAAGCGATGAATTAATGCTTTGTGTCAAGGAATCCAAAGGATTGTATTTCAACTCATTTTCATAATACCGGTATATTGAAGTAGTTAATTATTATGTTATCATTTTGCATAATAAAACTTTGATGAAAAAAGTCAGGTAAGAATTCTTGTTACCTCCAATTTTGCTGAATGTGTTATCAATATCTTGAACTAGATGAATGAAGAATGAAAAATATCCGGTTAGACATGAAATGTAAGAAAAGTAATACAATAAAAATTATCATAGTATTTGTATTTCTTGATTCTCATTTTAAAATACTGCATTTACACATCACATATGTCCTTAAGAATGTCCTTAAGTATCTTTTACGTAATTCTTATTATTATAATTATATTATAGATATTATATAAATATATAAATATTGCATAAATTTGAGTGTAACATTGAAAAATTTCAAAACAAGAAAACCACTGTCTACCAAGGTTGACAATGGTCATTGGTGGGTGAAATTTTTCAATGTTACACTCAACGACATGCAATATTTATTATATTATACTGAATGTTTATACAAATACATATTACAGTGAACTTTGTGCGCTTAAATTCTTTGCAGTCATTATTTTTTGGGATATCACCCGTCATCAAGCAATGTTGACTGTTGCTACGACTGTTTCTCGACGAACTAGATTTAACCAATTTACATCAAAGAATAATATATGTAAATGTTTAAAGCTGTTTTCTTAAAAAAAAAAAATTTTAAAAAAAGAAGTAAAGAAAAAAGAAAAAAAAACTTACGCATCTGTTGGAATTTATCACCGCCACCTCCACCACTACTTTGACTGTTAAATAAAAGATAGTTCGTTAAATGTTCATTATTACTGTTACATGTATAAGAGAGGTAACTTTTACCAGGTTAAACATATGTTATAATGATCACATTCCCTGTACAAACTATTCACATTTAAAGGACATTTTTAACAAATATTGGCCAGTAAGGTTTGATGAAATCATTGACACTTGAATTATAAATATCGTCAAATATGTTTTTAAATTATAAGTAGCTTTTAAGGACGTTCGATCCTGAGATTTTGAGCGTATATTGGTCAGGTCCTTTATTTATAAAATTCTGCATCATTTTTAAGTTCTAACATTAAATTTGAATTATACAGTGCAAATTTAACTACATGTATATTCAATGAAAAAACCGCGAGTAAATTCCATTCAAGTAGAACTAAGCTAGGGACTATATTTTGTGGCGGAAGGTTTTTTAGACGAAAATGATCAGTTTTTCCATTTTGAACTATAACAGTACTGTTAATTTTGGATTCCTATTTTTCCATCCTGGTTGCACACAAAACTGCTTTTTGCAGTGAAATGTGTTATGCTGGTTCTGATATATCTATTTAATTATTTCTTATGAATTCTATCAACAAAGTGTGACAAATAGAGTAAATATATTCTGAAAATCCGGGAAAAAATTGAGCCAATCTTAACGTAAAATTGACACTTTTTTAGTTATATCTAAAAATTTACATCATATACGCCCACTTTTGATGTTCTTTTCTAAATATTCCAGAAAAATTTGACCTATTTGCTTAAAATCAGAAAAAGTTTAACACTTTAAAATAATTTTCTTGCTTATTAAATTTTCAATGCCAGAAAAATCACTTTTTATCAGTGCAGAAAGGTCAAATAATTGATTATGCGAAGCAATTTGAAACTTTTTCTTAGTCACAATTTTTAAGTGTCTTTTTATAAACAAACTTAGAGTTCAATTTGTTTCATGCTTTAATTGGATAAAAATATTGGAAGGAAAACGTCAAAAATTTAATTTTTAATCAAGACACAAATTTCAGTGCAAAAAGGTCATATTAAATGTACTGTAGCGCCAAAAGAAGCGTATTGACCCCCATTTTTTGATTTGAATTTTAATTAAGCTATGTATGTAGAAACTAAAAATAACCTTGGCAAAAAAAAGTTTAAGACTTTAGATATCAGGATCGAACGTCGTTAAGCAAAATTTTACAATTAAAGAGGGGAATAATGAATTCATGGTAAATTTAAGGATTTCTTTTTCGATTTTTTCAGATTTATAATTGCATATAAAATAACAGTTCCCCTCTATACTTTCATCTTAGCCAGAAGAAGATTTTCTGTGCCTAAAAATAAACATTGAATGCACTGTCCGAGAAATTAAAAGAATTCAAAATTGCAACTATTTAAAAAAGTATAATATCAATATAAGTATAAAAAACTATTGACTTTTTTCTTCATTAAAAATGTTAAACTCAACTACATGCAATATTTATTTGTTAAAGGAATATATGGCCATCAAACATTAATTGTTGTAAAACATTAATTGTTGTAAAACATTAATTGTTGTAAAACATTAATTGTTGTATTAAACATTAATTGTTGTATTAAACATTAATTGTTGTATTAAACATTATTTGTTGTATTAAACATTATTTGTTGTAACAAACATTAATTGTTGTAGTAAACATTAATTGTTGTAATAAACATTAATTGTTGTATTAAACATAAATTGTTGTAATAAACATAAATTGTTGTATTAAACATTAATTTTTGCATCTTACCAGTTACTTGAGCAGTATTCTATCGCAGCGTTGACAGAATTATTACAGGTTGTGAGCATTTGTAGAGCTTTAGCACTGGTATTCGCATATTCACTATTTATCAAAAGAGCAAGATCATTTCTAGTCTTAAGGTCAACCTCTGAAAAGTAAAGTTGAAATATCATTACCATTTCAAATGTTATTCAAAACAATATTGTTGAATATTTAATTCACAAATAATTTTTCTATCTCTTTTCATCACAGGCTGTAAAATTTTGAGAAAAAAGTCAACATAGATGATATAAGACAATTTACATTTATAGAGGGGGGGAAAAGAAATTAAATACGAGGGTTGATCCAAAAGTTCGTGGAATTTCTTTCTAAAATTTTATCGTGATTTGATGAACGCAAGCAACAGGCATATTTATAATATAGTGTCATAATGCAACAATACAGGTAATTTCATTATTTTCCAATTACCAGTAAGGTCACATGAGCTTTCTGAAAATGGATAGTTGTGAAACCCGGGGGAGACTTCGACGTAACGTCAAGTGAGATATGTCACGTCACGTTATAGTTCTAAGCATCTCCTCCTAATGACCAATTTGAATACTTTATTCTACAAAATGCTGCCCTTTCCTCCATTTTTTTTCTCAAGAAAAGCCTGGGTATCCTCTCGCACCAACTTATCTTCATTTTTTACTCATATTTTAAAATACTACCGATCCTTCCATATGATGTTCCAATTTCATTAGCACTGTCAAGAACAGTGCGGCAGCCGACCACGTCCATTGACGCTTTTGATTTGTCTAGGGGGATATGCACTAAAAACAGAGTCTCCAAAAAGCAACCACTTCCTAAATCAACGTCCATGATAGTTCTATTTTTTTCTTAAATTTCTTATGCACCTGGAAAACCAGTAATCAAATGCATTTTTCCCAAGCCTATGTCAATAATATACGCGTTTAAGATAGAGTGATCCCGGGATTTTCGCTCAACATATGACTTGACCTAATGTTGATTTTGTCTAACAACTTAAAGATGAACAATAAATCATCAATTTATAAACTAAATATCCAGTAAAATCAGTAAATCTCTCATACAAAGGTTTATAAAAGATCAAGCAATCGTAATAATGACATAATTTTCGTTTTATATAGGGCGGTTTAATTCTCATTTTACGTATTAAGAATTAAAGTAATAATAAACGCTTTAATCTCTCCCCCGCATTTCTAAACAACCGTTTCTATGGCAACTGCCATATAGTTGCTATCAAAGATATTAAAAATGTTTTTAAATTTTAAATATTCATCAAGTGTCTATATTTTCATTTGTAATTTTCAACGAATTCAACTTAAAAATGAATAAAATATGAAGAAATTCCACGAACTTTTGGATCAACCCTCGTAATGAAGCAAGAAAAAAATATTTACGTTCAGTTTTCTCTTTTTCTATCAACTCTGCCGTGCAGAATCCACAGGCAATTGCGATTATCAAATACATGTACTTCATATTCAATGTTAAACAAATCTGTCAAGAATAAAATTACCGATATAGTATATCGCTTTCATTTATCAAGAATTAACTATTAACCACATAAAATTTGAAGTGACTTGAAATTCTCAATAACTGAAATTTAAAAACCATCTAAAATGCATTTGTCAAAAAGATTGTAATTTGTTGCATTAGTAAAATTTTGAAGAAAATAAAAAATCTTATCAACGAAAAATTTGAAAGCCATGCTTACCTTTCAAGGTATGGTTAAAATTATGAGTATACAAGGTTACTGCGAGAAATATATATACACAACTGGTACCTCATTATGACTAATTGAGTAATTAGCCCGGCTTGATTTGAATAGATGGGATTGTAAAATTTAAAAACAACTGATACATCTTACGGCTAAAAAGTCGTGATTTTTCTGACAGGTCAATTCTTTAGCATCAACAAACGGCGAAACCTATCGGCAATAAAGAGTAACATATTTATGTTTTGTTTTGTTGTATTAATAAGTTGACTCAGTATACCTGTATAGGTTACTTATTTACTTCAAACGTATTTTTTTGTGTTCAAAATAGGACGTAATCAGTCCGATCGCAAGAGTCGGTGGTGAATTTATTAGACCGCATAAGACATCACGAAAAACTGTCAATCAGCACTTTTGTAATTCTCTTTATTTTGAATATTAATTAGAAAGACAATATTAGTACCGACTGACATAAAATAAGAAAAAACAAATTTAAAAAAAATATAAAATTTAAAAAGAATATAATCAATTTTGTTTAAAAAATCATTGTTGTTCCCCTGCTTTGCAATATTTTAAACATAATACGGCTGGAGGAGAACGTATCGAATTTTTCAAATCGAAAAATCCATGCGAGGAAAACAGTGTAACACATATAAGTTTATATTATATTTTCTTGAAAACTACGTACAATAATATATTTCTCTTGAATCTGGTCAGAATAAATTATCTTTTAGCCATTGAAATATAGTAGAATGTAAAAACAGGAAAAATGGAAATCTTTTCAAATGAATATGTGAAGCATTCTATAACTTAGCACAGTTTATTCAATCAAATGAGATTTCATAGATAAACAAAACTTAAATCTAAATATTTCGAATTCCCTCTTTT